TGGAGCCCTGGGATTTATCCCCTCCTTGCCAAGCAGGCACCTGGAGAGTGCTGATTCATTGTCTGCAGCTGCAGAAGCACCACGGGATGTCCCCAGCCTTTAATCCCACTAGTCTGAAATCCAGGCTGACAAGGGGAGGCAACAGTAAAACAAAGAGGGATGTCCCTTTTGGCCATCCCCACGTCCCCATGGCTGGCCAAGGACAGGGTCACAGCTGAATTCTTTTGCTTTGCCCATTTCAGCGTGGAAATTAAGTGGTTTGCCTGTCCCTGCTCTGCCCTACCTCCAGCACATCCTCAAGCCTTACAGCAACACCCAACAGAGTCCAAATAACCCCTTTTTTTCCCCAGATTTTCAGATTCTACTGCCCAGCTGCTCAGCCCAGACTGCCTGAGCTTCTGCTGGTGCCCAGCTGAGATCACGAGGTGCTCAAAAGAGGCCCAAAGCTCATTCTCTGCCCCAGAAACCTGGAGCACCCAGCGTGACATCACCTCCTTCACACCTCCCGCTTGCACCCCTCTTGCCCCACTTGGAGCAGTGAAAGCACAATTCCAGCTCTTCCAGGTTTCCAGCCTGCCCCAACACACTCCCACGCTCCTCTCCCTGGGGTCAAACACTGGTCTGGCACGTGCCTTGGCTGATCTCTTGGTTTTCCTAATGAATACAGCTGCTTTTAATTAGCCAGTGCCCACAGCCACCACGAGCCAGAGAGGAATCCACCCTCGGAGCTCGGGACTGTTTGTGCTCCGGGATCTGTGCCTGGCAGGATGCTTTAATTAGCAGGAGCTGCCCGGGATGCTGGTGAGCAGCAGGCTCCCTGCCAAAAGCACAGCCAGGGGACTGCGGTCAGGGGAGCAGCAGGAGGGAAAGGAGGTGGCACAGATGTTGGAATTGCTCTCTAGGTCAGTGGGTCCCAAGCACAAACAATTGCTGCGGGGGAAGCACTGGCTTGCTCCAAGTTTCTGAAGCTGTCACACACAGACTGATCTTTTTCTCCCTAAACCCACCCGTTTCTGCCCAAACCAACATTTTTTGCTGTCCAAACTGACCTTTTTCTGCCCAGACTGACCTTTCTGAGCTGACAGCACCGGGAGCGCAGCCACGTTTTCCTCCCCATCCCATCCCCTTTCCCACTGCTTTACCCTCAACATCCCTAACCCAGGTGGAAACATTTTTAAAACCCTTCACCCCCCAGCTATTCAAAGGCCCCAGGGAGGGGCAGAGGGCTCACCACAGAGGCCATCGAACTTCTTGAAGACGTTCTCCTGCTTGTCACAGGCGTGCTTGTTGAGGTCGCACTCGCTGCGGTAGTCGCGGCCGTCGCTGCCGCACACGGGATTCTCGGGAACGCCGCTGCAGGAGGACGGACACACACACTTGGCCGACTGGCCATCGGTGGAGCGGACACAGGTGCTGCCAAAACTGCAGGTCACCTCTGCACAGGGGTCCTTGGAGCCTGGGGGAGAGACCGGGGGGCACGGCACAGGCGTGAGCGCGGCGAGGGCGCTCCCGCTCCGCGCTCCTTCCTCCCGCGGGACAAATAACCCCGAAGTGTCCCGGTATCAGCCAGGCAGCCCTACCCCTCCAACTGCCCAAAAACATGCACAGCACCAATAGATGGCCTCCCAGCAGCTTCAGTCCAGCTGCTCCTGAGCAGAGTTTGTCCCCCCCGATGAGTGGTGGCACTTGCCCACGGAGACAGGCGGGATGGTGAGGCTGCAGGATCAGCCCCAGCCCCACAAAAGGGAGCTCCCTCCTCACCTGGCCCTTCTCCTCTCCTCTCTAAACCTCTGAGCCTCACTACTGCAGGCTCCCTTCCTTGCACAGGCTCTCTGAGAGCCTCTTGCTCCAGCCTTGAGGGTCCTCAAGGCACCTCCTGCAAACCTTAATTAGAGAAAGAGCTCGAGGAGCAATTTCCTCACAGATGAGGAAGGGCCAAAATTTGCCAGCTTTTTTTTTATTATTATTTTATTTTTTTTTGCCTTTTTTTTCCCCTTTATTTGTCACTTTATGATTATGATTTTAAATAAATCTCTCAGCGCTCTCTCCCCTGTGCCAAGAGCCCCAGCAGGAGGGCCGGGTGTGGATTTATTGCAGAGCCAGCACGCCGAGTGAGGGAAAGGTCAAGTTAATTTACTCAAGAGATGAGGAGACCGGGGGGTCTCATTTACACAGCTCCTTGCTCACAGCTGGTGAAGGCCAGGCTGGGGAAGGGCTTTTATCAGCCCACCCAGCCCCTGCATGAGCCAGCTCCCACTTCCAGCTGTGGCAGATGTGACCCACCCTGGGGAGGTGGGGTGGGGCAGCAGGTAGAGATGTCACCCCCTCCCCTTCCCTGAACAGCCTCTGGCCATCATTTCACCTTCTTACTCCACTCTGCTGATCACCAGGGCAGAGCTGGTGATTCCCTCAGTGTCCCCTCCCATCCTCCAGGACATCAGGGATGCCCAGGAGTGGGCTGTTCCTATGGGGCTGCCATGCACCCCCTGAGCAGCCTTTGGCCATCACTTTGCCTTCTTATCACACTCTGCTGATCAGCTGGTGATTCCCTCCGTGTCCCTCCCCATCAGACACGTCCCCATCACCCAGGACCCCACCAGTGATGATGTCAGTGAGCTCAGGACAAGTCTCCCTGGACCCTCCACGAGGAGCTCCTGTCCTCACTCACCACACGGTCCCTTGCTGATGACCTTGATCCTCCTCTGCTGGTTGCACTGAGCCTTCTCCAGCTCACACTCGTTGCTGTAGGTGGAGTAATCGGAGCCACAGACAGGGGCCACCACGACAGGACAGGCTGTTTTCTTGCAGACACAGGAGGCCTGGGAGGGGTCGCTGGAGCTCCTCTCACACACGGCCCCGAACCCACACAGCATCCCCCGGCACACTGCGGGCACAGACACGGAGAGGAGGGTGAGCCACGGCCCCTCTGCCCTCAGGAGGGGTCCAGAGGGATGCACCCACCCGTGCCAGCCCCCTCCCTTCCCTGGCAGAGCAGCCCACACCACCCAGGTTCAGGACAGGGAGTGCTACAGCCCTCAGGGGTACCCAGACTTCCAGGAGGATGCTCCAGGCACAGCAAGGTCCTTTCCTGGTTTAGGGCAAGGATTTCACCACCTTGGCACGTTGCCTCTTGCTGCCTGCCAGGGGCCAGGGGGTTAAGCTGGGTTCTTCTCCAGGGAGACCACGGGTGACACATTTGGGGTGTGGGGGCACCCAACCACAGTTCCAGAGCCACCCACCCCAAGGCCACGAGAACAAGGGTGTGCCCCACCAGGGCTGCTGTACCCCGGGCTCCCAACTCCTGCCTGTGCCCAGCAAAGACACAGGCAAGCTCAGCACCTGATCCACACAGCACAGAGGCCACGGGGAAGGGCAGCAGGGACTGGAGACTGAGCCCTGCTGCCCTTTGTGAGGCAGAGGATGTGCCAGGCACCTTCATCCCACACGAGGGTAGGGAGGGAAAAGGCTGGGGTGCAGCACAGCCCAAAGGGAACTAACACACCTGTGCTCTTGTCCTCTCTGTGCCCCTTCTGCTTATTGTCAGCATGAACTGGAGATAGAAAGGTCTGTCCCCAGCCCTGCAGCCCAGCAGGGAGGTCAAGGGCAGCAGGGAGGTACCTCTGATCCCACTGCACAGAGGAGCACCCCCAGCACTCCAGGAAGCTCTGCCCAGGATCCCTGTGATCAAGCTGAGTCCTCCACAGCACAGCTGAGAGCGTTTTCTGCTCACCAGCAAGGGAAAGGGAAGGCAGGGAACGCAGAAGGAAACGTCCTCACCTGTCTCAGGGTGGGACAGATCATCCCACACACACACACACTCTGCTTGATTTACTGCCGTGCATGCAAAGCAGCCACACCACAACTCCCAGGGAGATGCAGGAATCTCTTTATCACATCCACTAATCAGAGCAGCCAGCACAGGCCAGTTCAGCATCTGAATTGCTAATGTGGCAGGAGCTGTCATCCTTCAGTGGGAGGGAGGGAGAGAGGGGGCAGATGTCTCCAGACCCAGGGGGCACAGGTGAGAGACAGAGAGAGCAGGAGATGCCAGAGCTTTGTGCCCCTTGGGTGTGCCCCGGGCACAGCCTGACGCTCACAACATGCCCTGCTGGGCAGGAAAATGCCATAGAATCATGGAATATCCTGAGCTGGGAGGGAGCCACAAGGATCAGAGTCCAACCCCTGGCCCTGCACAGACACCCCAACAGTCCCACCCTGTCCCTCAGAGCGTTGTCCAAACACTCCTGGAGCTCTGGCAGCCTTGGGGCTGTGCCCAAACCCTGGGGAGCCTGGGCAGTGCCCAACCACCTTCTGGGGGAAGAACCTTTCCCTGATACCCGACCTAAACCTGCACTGGCATCACCAGCACAGCACCCACCATCCCCGGGCACCCCTCACCTCCCCGTGCCCTCCCCCTCACGCAGCCCCACGTTAGAAATGGAGATTGACCTACATAATGAGAGAAAGAGAAATCATAAAAGGCAAAATAAAATGCTCGGCAGCGGCTCATTTACACTTCAATTCCCGGGCGTTTGGCTCCGGCTGCCTCGAGATTCCCGAGCTCACACGCGCGGCAACAATGCGCCACTACAGGCTAATATCGTGAAATAAAAAAGGAACTCTCTTCCTCTCCTGCCCAATATCTAAAGGCAATTCATCATTTTTATGAAGCTCTCTGGATAGTCTCTCCTGCACTTCCCACTGCTGCTCTTTCTCCCTTTTGATTTTGATTTTTTTTTTAAATGCAGATGAGCTGCGAGATGAGAGGGTGCAGGGGAGGCGTCCGAGGGGGAAAAGCAGGATTTATCCCGTTCCCTCCACCCCCAGGCACAGCTCTGTGGAGCAGGGATGTACCTGTGATGCACCATCAGTCGCAGGGGAGGCTGAGGTGGAGCTGCCCTGGAGCTCAGAGGGATAGGAGGGAGCTGGGGTGTGCAGATGTGGGATGCAGAGCCAGGTGTGGGATGCAGAGACATGAGCAGGATGCAGAGCCAGCCTGGAGTTCAACCAGGTGCCTGCTCGAAGGTGATGGGGAGAGGTGCCCACCTGAAGCCACCAGATGGGAAACCAAGGTGGGAAGCACATGCAGGGTTTTAAAGCAGGTGGCAAAGACAACTCACTCCTTCCTTGAGCTCTTCTGTTCTTGCCTCAGAGTGTGGGAAAGGAGCCTCACACATCCAAGGCAGGGGCTGCCAGGTCTGGTCCCCCCCAGGCTGGAGAAGTTTTTGGTAGGAGCCAGTTCAGGGCGGCACAAACCACCCCAAAAACCCCAATCCCAAGACCCTTGCTGCTGTTTTTGGCTGCATTTCCTTCCCACCTGGCTCGCTCTGCCCAGGGAAGTGGAGCAATCACCATCCCTGGAAGTGTCCAGAAAATGTGTGGATGTGGCACTTTGGGGACATGGCTGAGTGGTGAACACTGTGCTGGACTCAAAGACCTTGGAGAGCTTTTCCAACCTCATTGTTTCCATGTTTCTATAATTCTCTGCACCAACACCACTTTTGCCTTTGGTCCCTGTGCTCCACAGTTTCCAGCCTGTGAACTGGGCAGGAAAAAAAAAAAAAGCTTTCAGCCCTGGACAGGACTTCAGAAGAAATGAAAACACTGCTCATGGCTTTGCCATGTCTTCTTCAAAGACACTTTTAAAATTGTTCTTTTAGATTTGGAGCCAAACTGGGTCCTGTCACCTTTTAAGTGATCCTCCCTCTAATTATTTCACCTGCATATTTTAAAGAATCTCTTCATCTGAAGTGATAAAAGCAATGGTAAAGGACAGGAAGGCCACAATGTATCATCAAGTTAATTGGGTCAAGCCACATAAAGAAAACTGCTATTTTATAAGTCTCAGTCTATCCTTACCCCCAGAACTGTATTTCACAAACACTTTTATTTCATAAACACTTCAGGAACATAATATGCCAATAAGTGAGCAAAAGAGACGATATAAAAGGTATTTATTTACCTCCTGTTCCACATCAGCTGAATGTTGTACCAGTGAGCTGTTACAGCCCCGGTGTTTGACAGACACCTTCCCACTCCCTGCCAACCAGCTCCAGCCCTGGGAGAGCAGGAATCACAGAGTCATGGAATGCTTTGAGTCGTAAGGGACCCTAAAGACCATCTCATTCCACCTCCTGCCACGGGCAGGGACACCTTCCACTAGCCCAGGTTGCTCCAAACCCCGTCCAACCTGGCCTTGGACACTTCCAAGGATGGGGAGTCCACAACCTCCCTGGGCAACCTGTGCCAGTGACTCACCACCTGCAGAGGGAAGAATTCCTTCCTGATATCCAAGCTAAATCTCTCCTCTTTCACTTTAAAACCCTTTGTCCTGTCACTTGTTCAAGGCTGAGCTTCAAAACTGGAAAGGGCAGCGGGGGCCGTGCAGGGAGGTGAGAGCACAGCTCTGGTTAAATCATCCCAGCGCTGCAGAGACAGGCCACAGCGAGGCATTTGGCAAACAATGACAGCAGCACTTGTCTGGAGCCAAAAAAAGCTCGGAGCTGACCTTTCCCAAACCTCCTGAGCCGCCAGAGATGAGGGAGAGAGGCAGCTCAGTGAGGTATCCATCCAGCACTCCAGCGAGCTGCAGGGAACAAAAGGGAAGGGCTCGGGCTCATTGTCACCACGCTGAATTCCAGCCAAGCCTCTCCCTGACTCTTAGCAGCACTGGAGCAGAAAGGGGATAATAAATAACAACAACAACAACAAGAATAATAGAAATGAGTTTTCTAGAGAGGAAGGGGAAAGCAAAAAGGTGTCGTCACAAATTATTCACGTCCCCGCGCTTCCCACCCCGGCTGAGCCAGTGGGATTCCACAGGCAGCTCCTCAGCCCCAGGCTGGGCCTGCAGAGTGAAAAGGCTTTGGGAAGAGATCAAGGCTCGGGGAAAGACCTGCCTGGGTTCAGAGCCTCGGCTCCAGGTCAGGTGTGCTGTGCCCTGAGGCTCTGTGAGGATCTGCCTTCCAACCTGCAGTGACCTCCTGGTTCAGGGAACCAGCATAGAGGGATGCTAAGGAGGGCTCCCTGTCCTCTGGCTGATTTGGGAAGGTGAGGGGCACACCAGCCTCTTCCCTGAACAGTCCAGACAAGAGGAAGGACACTGCCACAGCCTGGAGAACAGGCCATCCAGTCCAGCTCCTGGCCCTGCACAGACACCCCAACAATTCCACGTTGTCCAAACGCTCCTGGAGCTCTGGCAGCCCTGGGGCCGTGCCCACTGCCCTGAGGAGCCTGGTCAGTGCCCAACCATCCTCTGGATATTTCCTAACATCCAACCTAACCCTCCTCTGGCACAGCTTTGTGCCACAAGCAAAGAAAAGGGGAAAGGAGGGAGGTGACAAGGAGCCTCTGGGAGCCCAACCCGGGCCAAGAGCTGTTGGCAACATCAGAACCAAGCTGCTCCTGCACAAAGAACAACTGCCCACAGCACCAGGTGTAATGACACCAGTCCCAAAGTGCCACCCCAGCCACGACACCTCCTCAGGCAGCCCCTAATTAGCAGCAGGGAGGGACTGGGATGCTTCATTACCAGGGAAGGCCCTGCCAAGGTGCAGCTCAGCATCTCCCTGAGCAGGTGGCTGGTGCTCCACGAGTGGCTGCCAGGGCAGATGGCACCAGCTCCACCTCCTCGTCTCCAGCAGTGCCTGCAGATGCCCAAAACGGCTGGAAGGACAGCTGGGAACAGGATGGACCCACTGTGGCCAAGAGGAAGGGCAGAGCCACCCTGAGAGTGGCCATGAGCCACCCACGGCTCTGCTCTGCAGAGGGAGGTGGGAGTTGGTGTGGGGATGCAGGAGTGGAACAGTGTGGGGATGCAGGAGATGAAGCAGTTTAGGGATGCAGGAGCTGGGTTGGTATGGGATGCAGGAGCTGGGTTGCTGT